TCTAATTCACCAAATTTACTATCTAACAATTTTCTGAGACTTCCCTGCTTTGCATACTCCATAACCATCATGTAATTGTCGTGCTTGGAGTTGATCATTGCTTGAAGTTGACAAATTGGGTATAAATGTTTCACTGCTTGAAATTGACAACTTCAAGCACTTGAAGTTGCCAACTTCAAGCAGTAAATCAATTATTATTGTACGTACATACGTAAATCAATTAATTTGATCTACCAAATCTGTCCATAATTTCTGGTATCCGATAGTAGCAGATAACAAGATCCTAGTGCCTGGGCAATACCCAGAGCATAAATTAGTATCCTAGCCCAGTGTTAGAAATTTGTTTTAGATTTATGTTCTCATGAGAACAAATTTATTAAATTTAATGTTCTCATAAATTTAGGGAATTGTTATTCGTACCCCCCTATTTTGTTATTAATATCCCCATGTAGATCAAAAAATTTTAAACTTTGAGCGACACCTACCAAGCTAAATTCGATGAATTTTTTTTTATTTGAATTCTACGAATCCATAGAATTCAAATAAAAAAAAATCATCGAATTTGGCTTGGTGGGTGTCAAGATATCATCGCTCAAAGTTTTAAAAAAACTCAAAATGTATATCAAACAAAAGCTGCACCAAAATTTTTCTTAAACTTTGCGCGAAGTGAGCTCGACAACAATCAAGTCAAATTCGATGAAAGGTTTTTTATTTGCATTCTACAGATTCGTAGAATTCGAATAAAAAAAATTTAATCGAATTTGACTTAGTGGTTGTCGAGCTATCTTCATTCAAAGTTTGAAAAAATTTGGCGCAGCTTTTGTTTGATATACGTTTTGAGTTTTTTTTTAAAGTTTGAGTGAAATATTTCGACAACCACTAAGCCAAATTCGATGAATTTTTTTTTATTCGAATTCTACGAATCTGTAGAATGCAAATAAAAAAAATTCATCAGATATGACTTGATGGTTGTCGAGATATCGTCATGCAAATTTTGAGAAAAATTTTGGTGCAGCTAGTTTTGATATACGTTTTGAGTTTTTTTTAAACTTTGAGCGATGGTATCTTGACACCCACCAAGCCAAATTCAATGAATTTTTTTTATTTGAATTCTATGGATTCGTAGAATTCAAATAAAAAAAATTAATCGAATTTAGCTTGGTAGGTGTCGCTCAAAGTTTAAAATCTTTTGATCTACATGGGGGTATGAATAACAAAAATAGGGTACAAATAGCAATGATCAACTCCAAGCACGACAGCTTCGCTAATATATTTCTAGTTAAACGCTTCTATCCGATATCAGAAATAGAAATTATGAATTGGTTACATATGTACGTACGTAGAGTACAATAAAAATTGATTTTCTGCAACTTCAATTGCTTGAAGTTGTCAATTTCGAGCAGTATAACATTTATACTCAATTTGTCAACTTCAAGCAATGGTCAACTCCAAGCACGAGTTCAACTTCAAGCACGTTAATGTGCTTGAAGTTGCTCCTGCATGAAGTTGACAACTTCAAGCAGTGTAACATTTGATGCCCGATTTGTCAACTTCAAGCAATGATCAACTTTAAGCACAATATAATTACCATCTTTTGGATTCTTGGTTATTCCATAAATCGCAATTGCTGATTTGCCTTCATGTTTATGTTGATTTTTAACCTAAAATATTAATTAAACAAATAAGATTACTGCATTTTAATATAATAAATTATAACGCTTACTTCTTCTAAAAATTCTTGTTTTATATCTTTAAAATTATCAAGGCCTTTTAAACAAACATTTATTTGCCCCTTTCTTCTCCATTTATTTCCCCAACATCTAGTAATATATCTGTCAACCCATACTGCTTTAAAAACAGTGCCAAAGCCTCCTTTAGCAAGATACTTTATATTTGTGAATTTGCTAAAAGGTATCTATTCAATAATATCTTTAAGCTTCAGTGCATTAATTTGTGTTTGTTGAATTAATTGATCAATGTTGTGATTGTTACTTGTCCAATTGCAAAATTTTTCTTTAAACCTTAATATTAAAAAAAAATAATAAATATAATAATAAATAGGAAAATTTTACATATAGCCGTGGCTATATATAGCCATATTCAATAATTTTATAATAACTTAAAATTTTACTATATTAATCCCTGTTGTGTAAGTAAGTAAGTAAAAATGCACATCTCGCAATTTTACCCTAACCCAAACCCTAACCTAACTAACCCTAATATTAATATTTTTTCAAATTTATTTTATTAATAAATCATTAATTTATTGGTTTGATAATAAATAGATATATAAAATAATTGCTTATTTGATATTAAAGACAATGTGAAAAATAATTGGATGACAAGAGATATCAATTATTATGGTTCCCGTATAATAAATTTAAAAATATTGAAATGATCCGCATTTAAAAAATTCATAATCAAGATTTTTCTTGACGAAGTAAAATTATTGATTTTTCTAAAAATATTTTGTGAGGTTAGATAAAAAAAATCCATCGTTCTTAAAGTTCTACGGTCTATCAAGAGATGATTCAGGAAATTATTTTCTTATTTTGAAATATGCAGAAAAAAGGATCTTTATATAACTATCTTTATGAAGTCACAAATGAAGTAGAAAGAAACTAAATTTATTAAGTTGCATAACATCTGTTCTTGAAGCAATTTATTTACAAGAATTAGAACATCAAGATCTTAATAGTTGAAACATTTTAGAATATATAAAAAATTTATATTTAATTATATTTTATTATATGCAGAATTTTGCAAAATTATATTTACTTATATTCAACATACAGTATACTTATTATATATAAAAAATAACAATTTAAATTATTAATAAAAAGGGTTCTATATAAAATTCTGTGTTGAGTAATATTTTTACTTCTATATAAAATTTTGTATCAAGTAATATTTTACTTCTATATAAAATTCTGTATTAAGTAATATTTTACAAAATGAATTAGAAATGCATTTATTACTGATTCTAATACAAAAAAAGAAGTATGCAGAGTTTTACCTTATAGTACCAGAGATTTTACAAAGAATTAAATATATGCAATTAGCTGATAAAGAATATTTCTTTTAGCCTTGTTCAAAATTCTAAGCTCAAAAATCTTCAATACTTGATAAAACTTCTATTGTACATTAAAATTAAATTTTTACTGATATGAGAGAAAATAGTTTCCATTTAATATATAAGTTAGATTAAAATTAACTTGCTTGATTAACAATTAAATCAATACATTATATCTGAAATCTAGTAATTCTTCTTAAAATTGAAAATATTCATTTTGCCATTCTCTTTGCTAAACTTTCTTCAACTCTCAATCCAATTTTCTGGAAATCTATATATAGACTTGGATCTCTACAAAAACTTAAAGTATCTAGTATGTGATTTATTTGCAAAACAATTAAATTCTGTAAAAAGAAAGAAGAGGGAATTAGATTAATCAACTCAGTGAATTTAAAAAGCATATATAAAATTTTCCTGATATTTCACACTTTTAATGCTGAATATTTTTTGATAATTTCATAAATATATCAAAAAAATTTTACTAATGCTCTTGGTCTGTTTAATGATTTGTATAAAAATTTCAAAATGCCAGACTTTATAACAAATAGTATTAATAAATAGTACAAACTATAATTGAATGCATGTAATATTAATACTTTTTTAAACAGTTTAGGAAATTTATAACCAGTCCTTTCTGTAGAACAAGTAGATCTCAAGCCTGTCAAAAAAGCATTTATAACATGTCAATATATAAATGAGTCATTTTGTATATAAATTTATGTAAATCAGATGAGATAAGATCAAATTAAATAACAAAAGCTCTAATCACATAATCAAAACAGCCAATCAAAATGATCAAAATATCAAAGATCCTTTTATGATTTCAAAATAGTTTTCAAGATTCTAGTGATTTAACTTAGTAAAAAAAAATTATTTTAATTCTATACATTGTAGAATTAAAATAAAAAAATTAATCAAATTTGAATAGAAAGTTATTGAGAAATCTTCACTAAAAGTTTTAAAAATAGTTAAAAAAAATTGGTGTAAATTTTATTTTAAACTGATTCTCAATAACCATCAATTCAAATTTAATAAAATCTTTTTATTTTAATTCTGTAAGTTAATAAAATTAAAATAAAAAAAATGATCAAAATTAAATAGATGTTTATTGAAAAATCTGCATTAAAAGTTTTAGAAAAAATTAGCCACAGCTTCTTTTTTTATAAGTAACTAAACTTTGAGCTAGAGCTGAATTTGGATAGATATCCTGTTTTAATTATCTAATCTGGTTTGTAAACAGATATTATTAAAATATCTAGGTTTTAATCCAGATTCTATTTGGTTATAACATATCATCATAGATTTATAAATTATAGTAACAAGTAAGCTAAAATTTAGTTACCCAATTCTCAGTGAAATATAATCAATTAAAATTAAATAACATGCTCTGAATAAGAACCTATATAATTCAAAAGCAGGTTTTAGAATTCACAAACAGCTTATAAATTATAAGATTGGTTTAAATTAATATAATGATTAATTATATATTCTTAAGCCAGATAATCTACTTAAGAAATCAAAAATCAGATAACTCTATTTTGAATCATGACAACTGGAATTCTGAATCAGGCAGATTCAATTCAGAGGTAAAGCACAGGCTTAAACTACAAGATGTAAACTTCAAATAATTTGGTTATGTATATATCTTAAATAAAAACTATGCCAAAAAGCTTAACAGCTTTATCATGGCTATAATATTAATTTTTCAATTATTATATACAAAATAATATATGAAATTATTTAAAAAGAGAAACAAGGATCATGATCAAAGTCACATTAAAGTTCTTTGATTGGTTGATATTGATTAATATAATATCCAGATAAAAAATTAGATTTATAAATCTAAAACAAAAATCCCGATTTATTATTTGCTTTTCAAAAATAATATCTGTTATCCTTTTTATATCCAGATATATCTGGATTTTGTAAACCAGATCCAAGCACTACTTTGAATAAAGATTACTTAGCATTCATTTGATCAAATTTAACCAAGTTTTTAATTAATTTTAATAGTTTATAATAGTAAAATAAAAAATTTGATCAGATTTGATCAGGTGAGTGCCAAGTAATCTTTATTCAAAGTTTAGACAAATATAAAAAAAAAGCTAGTGTTAATTTTTCTAAAACTCTTAGTGAAAGTTTTTCAATAACCGCCTATTCAATTTTGATAAATTTTTTTATTATAATTCTATAAACTTACAGCATTAAAATAAAAAAATTTCATCAAATTTTAATTAATAAATCTTTATTTAAAATAAATAAATAAAAAATTTTTCTAATTCTTTAATTTTTTTTAATATTTAATCATTTTAAAACTTTTAGTAAAGATTTCTCAAAAATTATTTATCCAAATTCGATAAATTTTTTTATTTTATATTATATAACTAGAACTTTTTTTTGACATAGCTAGGATACTCTTTTTACTAGTATCAGTATTAATATATTTTTACATATAATTAAAATATTCCTTGTAAAATTACTTAAGATAATAAAATGTTTGACCAAACTGTAATGTTTCTAATTTGGTTTCTTTTCAATAAAACCAAACTTAGCTTAAAACTAATGTATGTTAATAAATCGATTAAATTGATCATACAATTATAAATATTAACAAAATTTGAATAGCTTATTTAAATGCTTGACTAAACCAATTTTTTTAGTTTACAAATTAATGCAAATAAAATGAAAATTAAAAATACTAATGTAAATATTCACAAATTTAAATAGTTTACTGATTAATAAATAACTTGTATTAACTTTTACTAGATTAATTAAAATTAAGCTTTAATAATTTATTTAAGCCAAAACAAGGATATTTTGAAATATGTTAATTCTGAAACACCTAACAATAAAGATTTGTGAACTTGAATATTTTTATTTTAAAGAATATAAAGTAAAGCAGTATAGTATAGCCTGTTAGATGAGTATAATAAACTTAGTTATATATTATATATAGTAAATAGTGTGAAATTAGATCATCATAAAATTTGGGGTTTTAATTTGAAGTTCTTATTCATCAAATCGCTCTATAATGTAAATTTTTTAAAAAATGACTAAGCTACAAGAACATCTGAAAAAAATCTGTTAATACAAAAATATTATGATTTTCATATTAAAGTTTTTTAAGTTTCATCAAACCAAAAACTTGATTTAACTACAAACAATACTTGTATGACTTGGAAATTTCTTTATGTCTATATCTGTTTTGCATTTCAATCCCAATTTTGTTTATTGATAACCTTATTAAACCTAGATACTGCACAAAAAATGTGCAGCAAATCCTTGATTTTGATTGGTTAAGAGCAATGATCAAAATATTAGGCCAGAATTACTTATATAATTTTACTAATGAAATCACAGCTGCCTATTAAGGGGGATCACTAAAGCCTTATATCTACGTAATTTTTGAAGTTTTAATTGTAATTAGAGTTAGAGTTAGTTTAGCATTAGGATAAAAGTAGTTTTATAGTACAATTGCTTCTCCAACATTTTTTATTAATACAACAAGACAGGTTTAGATCACTATTTTTCATTTTTTTGTGTTTTTTAACTTCTTTGGTAATCTGTATAAACAAATTTCATGATTTTGATTGGTTCATCTACATATAAAAAGTCACATAAATACAAGGCTTCAGCGGACCCCTATTAAGTCAAAATTGTTTCTGGGTCAATTTTATTACAACATGTGTTTATTTTTAAATACTTCTATTTTTTTGTAATGAAAATTAAAAAGTTGATTACGGGCAGAAATTAGAAAACAATTATGTAATACAGGCCAAAATTTTAAAGATCCTCAGCTATTAGCCAATCAAAATCGAGGATCTGCTGCATATTTTTTGTGCAGCACATAGAGTTAATAGTAACCTAATTGCTGCAGAATGATTGACCCACTAATTCAGCTCTCTTACTACTAAAGATCATTATTAGAACAGTTATATAAATTAAATCTGTAATTTCTCTTACTTGCTTATAGAAAAAGATTAATTTATTTAGGCTTTAAAAATTTTAAATACCTCGTATAATTTTAAAAACACCCATTCAAAACAAAAATTATTAAATAATTTCTAGTCAATATTAAATTAACAACAATACTTATAAAATTGAACTAAAATTCTCTAACATTTAGCCAATTTAGAATTCAGTCTTAATTTATGTTATTTATATTAATTTTAGAATCCAAACACAAAATTTCTGCTTTATTCTATTTATTAGGCCTTTCAAAAAATTAATTTAAATTAATTTTTGCCATGCAATATACAATTAAAATTAATTAAAATTAATATAAAATTAATTAAAACCCAATTATTGATAAAATAATTGCAATTAATTGCAACTAAATTCAATTTTCTTTTACTAATATAACTTGATCTTTTAAATAGTAAAAGATCAAAAATCAAAATCATATTGTAGTAGTAGTAAATATATGATATTATCTAATTACATAAAATTGCAATTAATTAACTAATTGTGACTGTGCCAATAATTAATTAATTAAGCTTGAAAAATTGCAATTAATTGCCTCTATAATTAATTATTTGATATGGCTGCTATTTATGCATAATTGCTTCTTTTTTATTACTGTGCTTTTCAATTTACAGTAATATTATTGTATAGAAATCTATAAAATTTCTTCAATTCTCATTATTTACAAATTGTTACTTAACATAGTATTTCAATCTTTGAAAACTAATTTCTAGCATAATATCTTTTGTTTTGTTAACTAAAAGATCAAATTTCTAGCTTTTTTTTTTTTTAATATTCTCAAATTTAGAATGAAGCTATTTTTAGAATTCTATAAATCAATATGATTTAAAAAGCCTTAAATATTTAAATTAGCCAAGTTACTATTAAGATATCTTTATTAAAAGCTTAAAAAAAAATATAACCAATGTTAGATTATTCCTGATTCTCTGACTTTGTATATTGTGTTAGTAACTCTTATTTTTTTTTTTTAATAATTCGGCAGTCTTACCTCTACTTTATTAGGTTTCATAATCTTATAATATTTTAAAATTAAATATCAAAAGAAGAATTTTTCAAAAGGCTATTCCTTTTGACACCTACTTACAAGTATTGGCTTACCCGGTTATTTTAAAAATACCTATGTGCGACCTGCTATAGCAAGATTTTACCTCTGTATCAATATACTTTGCAAATAAGTACCATAATACTTTATTGGATGGTTCTTGCAGCTTGTCAAGACTACTAATCAATTTTCCACCACTCTGCACATTGCCCATTCCTAATCCACTTCAGAACCTCTTTCTTGACAACAGTCAAAATTTTCTTCCAACCCTCCTCAAACTCATTTATTTGATTAT